TTCAGTCTTAAACTGTTAAAAAATGACTAACAGTAATAAAGTGCAGTAAATTTCAGTTCAAACTTAAATGGAACTAAAACAAAATCTCAGAAGAACCACAGTGAAAAATAAAATGTTTTTACAACAAACTTCCTTCCATATTCTGCTTATGTCTTAGTTTGTTCTGCAAGAAAGAAAAAACAACATTGAAGTTACTGCAACAACTGCTGCATGTAGTGCTGTTTATGAAGGCTACTGCTAGCAGCAGAAACTCTTTGAATTCTTTGTCATGTCTTGTCCTCAAATGTTGAATCAAATTGCTGCTGTTAAAACATCCAACTTTCACTCCTCCTCTTGACAGTTTAGCAGAGCACAGCAGACAATCTGCTTGTTTGTTTCCTCCGTGCTGCTCTTAAATATCTCCAAACTGCCGATATGTTACTTCTTCTTCTTCTTCTCATCGTTCTTCTTCTGTTATTCGGGGGTGTGGTCGGAAATAACTTGTCAGTGCGTTAGCGCCCCCGCCTGGTATGGATTGTTGTTTACCCTTTGTGTTGCAGCGCAGCACAGGAGGAACAAAAAAGAGGACAAAAGCGGTATCGGTTAAGAGTATCGGCCGGCTTTTACGAGTACGAGTACGAGTACTTGATGCTGGTATCGGATCCGATACCGATACTGGTATCGGGACACCTCTAGTTATTTTGTATTTATTATTATTATATTCTGCTTGTTATACTTTTTATCCTGAGCGTGTCTTCGTTGTGGTCGACGTACTTTTCACTATCAAGTAATCAATGTCTAGATTTTTTTCACATTTTAAAAATAATTTTATGAGTCCTTTGGAGGAGGAGGCAAGAGGCAAAACTAAAGCGGGGCTGTGTACAGAAGGCATAACGTGTCACCCCCTCCACTCCTTTGGGACACTCTGACCACTTGGTTGTACAAATGGTGCCAAAATACAGACAACTGCTTAAGTCAGCCAAACGAGTCAGAAAATCCTGAAAAGGTGGATTCCAGAGGCGATGGATGAGCTGCAGTGTGTTTGGAACACAGCTGATTGGAGTTGTTTTTGGAACCCTGACATCAGCTGGAACACCTCACAGTCTGTTCATACAGTTAGGTCCATATCTATTTATAGAGACAATATTTTCCTAATTTTGGTTCTGTACCACAATGAATTTTGAAGAAATGGCTAGGATACAGTTCACTACTTGGTCTCACAAATTGCGTTGCCAATGACGTTAAAGGTCAGCTGGCTCAGCTCACAGTGAGGCCTGTTCCCCAGATCTGCGAAGACATCTAGAGACTTCTTGTCCACACTGAGAAGCAGAAACTGACCAGTAGTCTTCTGCTCAAAGGGAACAATCATCCAGTCATTTGTCTGCAAGCCTGGGTTCTGTCTCTGGAGTTGATGCAGAACTACCCGGAGTACTATGGGTTCCCAAGGCACGAACATGCCAACCCTCCTGAGAACTGGGAGGTCCTGAACCCTCTTGGCAGAGAATACAGAGCCCTCCCAATAAGGGTTCTCCGAGACAGCATGTACGAGACAATCCAAGGGTGTTTCATCCTCACAGGTCAACAAAAGGTGCCCTGCACAAGACCTGACTCAATAAACCATGGCACCAGATTGTCGTCCTGGTCAATGAGCCCCACCGGGATGGCCTGCAAATATTCACTTTTCTCATTTTTTAGAGGTCTATGTGGGTCATTATCTAGAAAGATGATGACCTGCAAGTCTCCACCAGCAGCCAATGCCATTGAAGGCCTGTTGCTGTGTTTCTTGGGGGCTTTGGCACTGCCTGCCGGCTCAGTGCTAACCTTAGCTTCATATCATCCAATAGCAGTGTTTCCATCAAGGTTTTTAATGCGCATTTTGAAGTATCGCATCAGAAAAGGTGGATGGAAACGGCTTGATTTGAAAAAACTTCTTCTAATTTGCATCAAAGTTGATACGCTCGCTTGAGGTGGTTTGGGGGTTTTTCGAAAAAGAGTTAATGCACAAAAAGGAGAAGGAAACACATTTTTCAAATCAGGTCTGACATAGCGAACATTTACTTGATCAGCTGTTCCCGCTGTCTGTCCGAAACCGGTCCCGATACCAGAGCGAGTGCAGCTGCGACTCGCAGCTGGACCCTCCTCCTGCTGCCAGCGTCTTCTCAGTTAATCCCGTAACATGAAAAGAATTGCATTACTTCCTCTACGTCGCCCGACTGCATGTAAAATCACCAAAACTAGTTGATGACAGAGTATTTACAACTTTCCTGACAGCAGCAACACATTCCTGATAACGTCTGTCCATTTTCCTGAGATGCAACTTTTACTTCCTGTTTACTACACGCATGCGTCTGACGTAACTGATTCACTTCAAGCCAGTTGATAGAAACACATCTGATTCGCATTTCTTCGTTTTTACATTTTTGCGATTAATTTTTTTTAATTCGCTCAAAGTTTTAATTAAAGTTGGATGGGAACACGCTATAGTCCCTCCAGTGTGTCGTGGGTCTTCCTCTGGGCCTCCTCCCTGTGGGTCATGCCCGGAACACCTCACCAGGGAGGCGTCCAGGAGACATCCTAACCAGATGAACCACCTCAACTGGCTCCTCTCAACGTGGAGGAGCAGCGGCTCTACTCTGAGTCCCTCCTGGATGACTTAAGGCTCCAACAAGTCGCAGTCAAACTGCCGCAGTTTCATTCTGTTGGCTACTAACCAACCATGCTGTAAGCTGTTCCTTCAAACAGAGCTAGGTGGAGCTGTCTTTAATGGTAACAGGCAGTGTGTTCTACCACATGCACCCTTTAATTGATAGAACATTCTACTGTATATTCTAATACTAATATTCTTGTTGTTGTTATCTATTTAAGAAGGGACCGTGCATATTATAGAACATGCCAGAATTAGCCATGAAGGCTAGTTTTCATCTGTAGTCCCTATTCTTGGTCAATGGACCTCATGCAAGAACCGTTCATACGCACAGATTTGTTCTTAAGTTGTGCGTACGAGTGATTTAGGAGAATTTGTGGCATTCACCATTTTTTTCATATTCTAAGATTTTCTTCAGATACGATATAACAGATATAACACTACAGTGTTAATATGAAGATCTCAAACTAAAAAACAACTTAAATTATGCATTAATTGAAGTTTGGAGACGTTTTAAAATGCGTCTTTTCAGAACCACATCTGTCACTTGCTACAGCCAGGAGGGGGGAGACGGCCAGGCGGTGCGCAACCACCCTTCTTCTGAATAAATGTAAACACAGTAACACAGTTGTTTATACTTAAATTAAAAATATTTGACCAAAGAAAAACCGGAGCTGGACTAGAGAGAGATTAATATGACTGTAACGATCCACAGGAGACACGACATTAACAGCACATTTCATTCCTTCAAGCAGCTCCTTTAATTCCACAGCTGACACTGCTAAAGAGAACAGATTTTTTTCTCGATCTCTGACAGCAGGACTACAATCTCCGAACTCGTAAAGTTATTCTTTTTTACACTGCGATGTCATTCATGAATTGACACTTCCTGGTATGTGTGACAGGAAACATATATCCTTATATGGTGTTTTTGGGGTGGTAATTATGTAAATAACCTCTCCGCGTGCACGAGCAGCTGGATATGAACAGGCGTAATTCATCGTGTTTACGGAGCTCATTTACACACTTTTCATGAAGATAGAAGAGTTTGTTGAATCTGACGTGACATGTTCGTACGAACAAAAGTAAGAAGAATTTAGGATAAGAATATGAACATGTTCTTGCATGAGACCCAATATCTGTGAAATGGTCTGAATTGTAGCCAATTTCCTGTTTTCTTAGATCTGTTAACTTTTAGGTCAACACAAATAATGGGTTAACTGGCCATCAGTTAATTAGGACATCTAATCATTACTTTTTAAAATTTTCACTAAAGTCTTTCCCGTGTTTAGTGAGCTGTTTTGCAAAAGGACAAACACAGACAACTGAATTATTTTTTTACTTCAGCGTTGTTTGATAACTCAATGAAATGTTTTAATCTACATCTGATCATGTTTACATTTACATCTTTTCCTCCATGCACTAATAGCTGTCTGATTGTTCTTTAGATGGTCCGCTCCCTGATCCGTCCATGGTGCGGCCCCCTGGACCTAATCAGATGGCTAACAGAATGCAGGGCCCAGGTAAGGACTGTTCACATTATTTTACTCTCCAATGTTTAACACAGCGGTTCTCAAACTTTTGTAGAAACTTTGGAGGAAGAAAAATTTCAGCTCCTGATTGGGTTAGCTACTTAGTTTTCTGGTTTTGCAGAGTTTACTTTACAGCGGGTAAAATAAGTATTGATACGTCCACATTTTTCTCAGTAAATATATTACTAGAGGTGCTAATGACATGAAATTTTCACCAGATGTTGGTAACAACCCAAGTGATCCATACATACAAAGA